TTCATTTAATAAAAAGGTTTTTGCTGGAATATAGATAGATGATAGATAGGGAGAGATAGAACCTGCCTCGTGCTTTTTCACAGCTATACAATACAATAGCAGAGTTGGAAGGGGACCTTGGAGGTCTTCTAGTCCAACCCCCCACCTACGCAGGAAACCCTATACCATTTCAGACAAATTTTGGGGAAGCCAAGATCAGAACATTAGTTCCCAAGGACTCGGGGGCCAAGCGAGCACCCTTGAACCTCGCCAAGCAGCCAATTGATTCAGACATTCAATCAAGAGAAAGGGACAAACTTTCCCAGCTCCAGGATTCCAGTTTTGCTTCATGTCAGAAAGCAAAGTATATTCCAGCACAGGGTAGTGTCAGCTACGGGTGTCTATCACAAGCATATTTTGCTTCGGGGTGAAAATGTCAACGCTAAGAACCGTTGGTGGACTTCTTTTTTCTGTTTTCACGCTCATCAGCTAAGTCTCGTTTGCATGCAAGGAAGAGATGGGCGTCGGGATATGACAGCCCGAGTTGATCTGTCAGTGGAAACTCACCCTCGTCTCTTCAACTGCATCGAGAAAGCTGTCAGTCACCGAGTGGTTTTCCAGGCACAGCTTAACTTAATTTCAGTTAATGTGCAGAAATCTGCCTAATAACAAGCTGTCAAGAAAGGACATGCCAGAGAAGCCCTTGCAGAGATGAGGGGTTGGGGGGGGGGAGATATGTTTTGGAACAGTCTTGGTGCCCGCTACTTCCTCTGCCCCATATCGTTCCGAAGTTCAGAAACTTTTGTCAGGCAGGCAAAAGAGATATTTGCAGATTAAACCAATTCTAGATAAATAGCTTTTTGTATGAGAAGGAGGCGGAGGAGCAGGAGGAGAAGGAAAAAGAGGAGGGGGAGGAGATAGACAAGGAGGAGAAAAAGGAGGAGCAGGAAGAGATAGACAAGGAGGAGAAAGAGAGGAGGAGGAGATAGACAAAGTGGAGGAGGAGCAGGAGCAGCAGGAGGAGAAAGAGGATATAAACAAGGAAGAGAAAGAGGAGGAAGAGGAGAAGCAGGAAGAGATAGAGAAAAAAGAGGAGGGGGAAGAGATAGACAAGGAGGAGCAAGAGGAGGAGCAGGAGGAGGAGAAAGAGGATATAAATAAGGAAGAGAAAGGAGGAAGAGGAGAAGCAGGAAGAGGAGGAAGAGATAGACAAGGAGGAGAAAGAGGAGGAGCAGGAGGAGATAGACAAGGAGGAGCAAGAGGAGGAGCAGGAGGAGGAGAAAGAGGATATAAATAAGGAAGAGAAAGGAGGAAGAGGAGAAGCAGGAAGAGGAGGAAGAGATAGACAAGGAGGAGAGAGAGAGAGAGAGAGAGAGAGAGAG